CTATCTTCCTTCTTGGAGAGATTGAAAGTAAATTGATAATCGATTGTAAGCTCGTAATAGCATGATGATTTTATGGGATCGCCATTATAATGATTCTGGGTATCGCATTTTTCACAATGATCACCCACTATGCCCTTGGTATTGCAGAAGCATTTTCCAGTGTCGGGCTGGCAATTCTCCCCTTGCCCATTGCATTCACATTTTTGACAATTACCACCATTAATTGGATTGCCCCAATAGCCTTTGCTACATTTCTCACAATGACTACCAGTCGTCAGATTCGAGCATGGTTGTTCGCAAATATTATTATCAGGACAATGTGAGTGTCCATTGCAATTACATGGTGGACAAGATGTGAAAAACCAATGATTTACTTGACACTCGTTCGCATCATACGGTGACAAAGCACCACCAGCAATGCAATTGCCCAGACCGGTATTGGAGCCGTCGTCGCACCACCCACAAGCCGGATCGTCTAGACATTGTGCACAACTATTATAGAATCCACACTGCGCGCTCGATTGTGCAGCAGTTGAGCGACCATTACCCGTATTTGAAGGCGATGAGCGACACTTTGCAGAGTGTGTGGTCCAYTCTCGACACTGACCATAAGGAAAACTAGGCGTATACGCATTGCGATCAACACAGCGTTGCTCATTTTGACACCAAATGCACTCGTCCTCTGTACAATTGCGGCAGCTTGTTAATGTTGCACAGGGTTGTGGACAGATTACATCTTCTCGTGTTCGATTCAAATGTGGTATATTAGACAAATATGGTCTGCAACGATTGTGTTCAGCATCCCAACTGCAAGCAGCATTAGCTGAGCAGGCATGGCAGCTATGTAACTGCTCACAAACGGTAATAATCATGAAATCTTCGGTTTTCTGACAATTTTCTAARCGTTTTATATTCGCCACTGGAACAGCTGCGGGCACAAATTGCTGTTGTTGTTGCTGCTGTTGTTTCTGTTGGTTGTTAKATTCATAAAATAATGTGGTTATGGATGTAGTCTCCCGACAACGTTCCTTTGTGCAGACACCATTCCCACAATAGGTGCAGCCATATGAGTTCGCCACACAAGATTGACAATTGCTTTGCTCCTGGCAGCGTAGCACATCATTTAGCAGTTCCGAGGTCAATGTAAGGCGACTTTTCGATGGACATACTACATAGTCATATTGCTCGCGACCGAAGATTGCCGAGCGCTGTACTTGGTTTACGGGAATGCAACGCATTTTCTGCACATCCCAAATACATTTCACACCTGGTCGACCGTTTGTGCACTTTTCTTGTTTCGTATAAAAACTACAATAGCCAGGTGTGAAACGCAACATATCGTTCAACAATTGTCCGTTAAAGCCACCATAAATGTAAAGCGAATCTTCGAAAACAACAGCACTGTGACCAAATCTGGATATAAAAGAGTAAAATGTATAAAAATTAGAATAAGAAAAGATTTGAATTATACGATTGATTATTGCAATTSAAGAAAAAAAGTATGTCTATGAGAATACAGTAAAAAATTATGTATTTTTTCCATTGACATAGTAACTATAACCAAGTATTTGTAAAGTGACAAACAAGAATTTATGCAATTATATATTAATCTTTACCTAGCTAGATCTGTTTGCAAGTGTTCTGGCATGTCCTGCGTATGCCACGAATCACAATAGACGTCATACACCAACAAATCTTGACTATAACATTTTGCTCCATAGCTCTGAGAAGTATCATTATGAGTGTTGCCGCCAAATACCATCATGAGTCCATGATTAATGAAGTTAGCTGTGTGAAGTAATCGTGCACTTGGCGCTGCAGACAGTAGAGTCCACGTACGTATTGCGGGCTCATAAGCATATAATTTTGAGCTTAGCACCTGACTTGACTCACTTTCCGATATAATGCCACCGTAAACATATACCTTTTCCGTCAAATAATCAAAAGCTGCACTATGTCCAAAACCACCTTTAACCACATAGCCGTAAGTTTCAATGATCTTCCATTCACGTGTACCGAAATTAAATTCTTGTACAGTGTTCAGGTAACCATATTGTGGTGAATGTCCGAAAATAGCAATCATATATTGATAATTGTTTTTGTCACCGAAACCCGGTACTAATGTTGCCGTATGACCTGCTACACGCAAAGGTCCACACATAGCATTCGTCGTTAGACCCGTTGAGTTACATGCATCGCTTTTAACTGTTATATTTTCCCAGGTTTTAGCAGACACATCAAACGCCCATAATTCATTAGATACGCCACGACCCTCGATTACACCACCGTACATGAAAATTTTATCACCATACATAACGGTAGAAGCTCCATACCGTTTTTCGGGTACACTACTGCCACCCTCAATATGTAAGGTTTCCCATACATTGCCATTGAAATCGTACGTGGTCATAAGTTCACCACGCCCATATGACTCTCCACCAATTATATGAAGTGTATCACGCCATACAGCAGAACCGTGTGAAGCGGTTCCGGGTGGAGGGGGTGATTGTGTCGGATAAATTGTGGACCAAAAACCAAGCGCCTTGAGTTGGCCACAATCATTGCCGCCAAAACCTTCATTACACTGGCATCTAAAATGCGACAATGTTTTAAGATGTTATACAAAATAAATAATTTGTTTCAACATTTACCTTTCGTCGTCTTCTTTACATGTGCCCTGTCCTTTATCTTCTGAACAGTCGTTAGGACATGCGGCTACGTCACAAGCCTCACCTTTGTATAAGTTATCGCAAATACAGTCTCCTTCACTACATCTTCCATGACCAGAACATTCAAGCTCTAATTTGAAAAATGTATACGTAAAAAAGTATTAGAGTTAGAATATAATACAGTTACCTTCTGTCGCTGTAGGGCATCCATCCATCTTGTAAGAAAGATTGAAACCAGACATATTGTAAGCGTCATCACTAAAGAAATGAAGTAGCGCTGTACCCGAACGGGCAATTACTTGTGGTACTTTTCGTATCGCAAAATTATCTCTGTACATAAGCCCGCTAAAAATATATTTATATATATACTGGTTATATAATTTCTTTAATATTACATAACTAAATTATCTTACCTAAAAACTGCTAAGAGAGGAGAATCTACACTGTCGCCATCGTAAATATACAAGTGATCCCAACCGCATTCCGTGGCAAATTCACGCAAATGAATTCGAATGGAAGGTGTCCGCAGTGAATTTGTGTGGGGATGTCGTGTATCAATCAGCCAACTACACTTAACACTTACTGAGTAATTTCCTTGACCATCGTGAATAGTTCCAGATGGATGATATAATCTTTAAATAAGAAATCAATTAACATAAACTATACTTTTCAGAAACCTCTGTTATCTGTTAAACTTAAATTTATATGAAGTAGTAGAATATTTATTTGCATTTGGTAAATACTTAGAATTAACTCAATTATCACAAAACGAAAATTTCGATTATTTTATGTTACCCATCATTAACGATAAAAAAAAAGTTGAAGATTACAAACTTGTATTTATGTACCTATGTATAAAGTATAAACATATGAACGTAATAATTCAAAAATATTGTATGACTGTCACTTTATATTTAGGAAGCCGATAAGAAATTTTACTAATTATGTAAATTCATATGTTAAATTTTACGGATGTTAGAGAAATTATACTTGTAATAAGTAAATGCTTGATTTAACACTTTGCTATACTATAACACAAGTGTTATGCAGAAGCCAGAAAATTGCTAAAATACAACATAACAAACGAGTACTAATCAATAATACCATTCATAAGTATTAAACAAGAAACTATGAGAAATGTATTTATTTACATACTCAACAATAGTTTTGAGTTGTGTTATGACGATACCTTAAAAATTTATATGTTTCCATAATACATACCTCACTTTACCTCCACAGAACTGGCATTCCGGCCCTTGCCAACCATCAGCACATAGGCATTGCCCATCTTTCTGACACTGACCTTCATTTTGGCAGTGGTTGCCTTCAACTGTACAATTAAAAGCAGAAACTCGGCTCAATTCACTAAAACAGCCGTGGAAGATTAATAGTAGAAGAAGGAGCAAGCATTTCCGSCGGTATTTCGCATTGAATATGGGAAAGTTCTGCGCAGGTGAAATTGATGCTACCATGACTGAAATGTTACAGTTGGAAGACGATAGCATGGGCAATCTTAAAGGCCTCAGCGACTTAGTAGATAAAAAAATATTTAAATTTGCCAGTGAATTTTGCTTTATTCTATCGTTATTTTGGGAACACCGTTCCAACGGTGAATTCTGCGGCTGCAAATCTCTTCTGTCATTGTCAACCACTTTTTTCCTGTAGCATATGAACTGTGTCAAAGCCACACACATTTTTAATTTTGATTATTCTATTAAATTATTTAAAATTGCTCGTTTATTTTATTTTACAAACTTTCACTTACATTTTTAAAATTTTTTCAACAAAACTGTTAACGCCTTAAAAAACTAAACTAAATAAAAATGTTTCACGGATCCACCACCCCACTCTTTGTCGATGTGCCAAATGGTTATTTTGCTTCTTTTTACTTTTAAATCACAGTTTACGATTCAAATACTATTCCAATATATCCCAAAGAAAATTAAAACAATTCAAACTATTAAAATATTATTTATTGAGTTTAGTTTTGCAAGAAGAATAATTTATTTTCAGACATTTCCTTTTCGAACTTTCTTTGACTTTTCCCTTTTGCAACAACAATTCGTAGTTTTGTACCTTGCCAGACCAATATTCAGCTCAATCTCAAGTATGGCGAACAACTTTTTGTTATTTAAAAAACTATTTAAACACTTTGCCCTTAATATAGAATATTTGCTTGAATTTCTTTTAAACACTAAATAATTTTCTATTTTGTTCACTAAATATTGATTTGTAATAAAATCATGTGTTAAAAATTGTATTAATATACTTCTCGATAGGTAGCATCATTCTAGAGATTTAAAATGCATCCCTGTTTATTTCTTTTCGCTCTTCGGGTTTATACACGACTGCGAACTTTCTATTTTCTGTGATTGCGTTGTGTGCAGGAACACCTTTTTTCAAGAAAATATTAGGTTCAGCAATTTAATAAAGGTGTGTGATACCTTAGATAATAATTTATTGGAAAAGGTAAACAGCGGAAATAAAGTTAAATCAAAATACGAACATCTAAAGTGCACAGAGTAYTTAGGTTCAGCATACTAATTGAAAGAAGAAATGGCTGAAGTTGAGAAAGTTTCAGCTACAGCAACGAGCCTTCCTGAGGCGGCTGGTGCCACAGATATACCTTTATCCGAAATAGGCGAGGCAACCGGCAATAATGTGTTGGAGTTCGGAACTTCGCCAACTCAAGAACCTTCAAGTAACTCCCATCCTCATGATTCGGAATATGATACAGCATCAGATCTAGAAGGTGGCGGTGAAGAGTACGATGATGATGAGGATGATGACGATTTAGATGATGAAAGTATGACGGACGGAGAAAGCATGACTGACGATGATGATGACGACAATGACGACGACGAAGAAGATGGAAGACAAGGTAATATAAGTTTAGAGAAAGCAGAAATAGAAGCACAAAAGAAAGTAGATGAGGACCGTAGCAACCCGCAATATATACCAAAGCGGGGAACATTCTATGAACATGATGATCGTACTGCTGAAGTAGACGCTGATAGATCAATAAATTTGGATGAAGTCGGAGAAATGCAAGAAGGAGGTGTTGGTGGATCGAAACCACCACAATCGCCTACCATATCACAAGCATCGAAAACAATGAAAAAATGGCAAGCTGCTTCTGCTGTAGAACGTTGGAGTCACGATCGATTTGATGCTTCAGAGCAGGCTCCAAAGTCGCGATCTGAATTGGTTTCTGCATACGGTTATGATATTCGTACAGAAGATGCGCCACCACGAGCACGTCGACGCCGTCGGTATGGCCGTGGCCCTAGTAAATATTCTCGTAATTGGGAAGATGAAAGTGCTTACCTTAAAGCAAGTAATAAAGAACGTAAGCCTCCGCGCGCCTCAGATTTTCCAAGTTTGAATGAACGAAGTGTTCATAAAACAAGAAAAACACCAGTCACGCGTGAAGAAAAAGAAAATAGAGCAGATAAACGGTCTAGTGCAGAAAAGCAAGTTAGTACTTCACGACCTATTTCGTTACAAGATGAACGCCGCGACACCAAAGTTAGTAGTAGTAAAGGAAAAACTTTTAGTCATCAAGCAAACCAGGGTGGTCGGCAAGCACCAATGGAATTTAAACAGAAGCAACGTAATGCTCGTCAGATTAACAGTKCATATAAAGACTCTCAAAATAGCCGTAACGATGGACATTATGAACGAGGGAATAACCGGCATCAAGCTAACTCGCAGGCAAATTCTGGGATAACAGATTATAATCAGCAAAAAGCTGGCAATGGCAAGACGCAAACACATTCCAGGTACTCTCAAGCAGAGGGTACGTATGGTACGGTACCCAACAGTGGTGGTGGCAACAACCATCAATCTTACCAACAGCAAAAGCAAAAATCTCAATTGCAACCGAATCAGCAACAATCCTCAACGGCATCAATACGCCAGCAGTCGCAACAAAACACATCTAATTTATCTCAACGTCTGCAGCAAGTTCAGAATCGCAATGATCCAAGTCACGTAGGCAGTGTTCAAATGCATGCTCTAGCTTCACAAAATCAACTAGCTGGTCAACAAAAACAATTAGCTGGTGCTAACGTTGTACTCAATAACCAACAAGGTAATCCACAATCTCAAGCAATACAACAGATATCGCAGGAACAACGAGGTCCACCAAAGCGATATTCGAGTCTTCGTCGTTCACAACATGAAGCACAACATATAACAGATCAAATGCAGCAAATGCATATACAACAACAGCAACCACCCATTCTAATGCAAGATCAACACATGATGCAAGCCAATATTATGCAGCTTTATCATCAAGAAAATTTGCAAGCCATGCAAGCTTTGCARGTTAATCAAAATCCCAGTCAACCACCGAAATCCACTTCGGGATATGCTTCAGTACCAACGCCAACTCAAGGACCACCTTATGCAAATTCTGGGAGTAACGCGACTGCTCCGGGATCATTTTATGTCGCTTCACCTGATGTATATACTCCTAACGCTGCAGCTAGTCCACAAGCGCAACCTCCTGGTCAATATGCGCAACAGGCACCCCCAAACTACCTGCCACCATCCTCATCTACAACCCCGAACAATCTCGCCTATGCTGGAGGTCAGACAACGGTAACCCCGCCGCAAGTGGCTGGGGCTCCTCCAGCTTCATTTGGGCCCACATCTACCGGGCCACCCCCAACAGCGGCTACTGCTACGGGAGCTGCCACACCAAACGCCAATTCAAACTTTTCAAATTATCAAAATTACAATACCGTTGGTGGAACCACATATTTCGTGCCACCTGCTCAGGCAACCACTCGTCCAGTGGTATTACCTCAAAGACGTCCAACTAACGCTATACCTATATTACCACCATCAGAGAAAAATAAGCAACGCCCCGTAGATGCGAAGGATGAGGCAAAAGCGCTTTCTACCAATTCAGCATYACAAGGTAATGCACAATCATCGGCGCCCATTGGTAGTGCAGAAAATATTGATCATATCATTGACAACATGTTTGTCCAACGTCCGGCTTTCCAGCCACCACAGCCACCAGCTAATCCAACTTGCAAAAGTTCCTCGCCATCTTTAACTGCAGACAATAGCGGTGGAGATAACAGTAGTTGTGGTGGTAGTGGCCTGATGAATTCCTCACTTTCCGATGAGATGAATATTCCCGCAAACGGCGAAAAATCCTCGAACAATGCAGAGAATGGTCAATTGGAAATGGCTGTTAACARCCCTATGATACTAACGAAAGAATGAGTTTCATTTGTTTGGTCCGCATAAATATTAATTAGAAATAGCAAAATTTCGCAAAACTAAAAGAAATAATATATGTATATCATATCCTAATGTGAGTTATGATGAGATTTTAAATCACCGAGTGCAAAATCATCGAAAATGCATGGAGCTCTTCTTCGAATCTATCATTGGGTTATGTCAAAGAATTTATAAAGATGCTTCTGTTTTATTGCTTAACTCTTCATTCTGTCAAAAGTTAATACGTATTTACATATACATACATATATGTATACATACATGGATTTTAATAAATTAACTGTAGTTTTAAAGAATGTAGCAAAGAATTACGTAATCTGAAAAAAATTTGTTATATGAAATATAAATTGTAATCTATAATTATTGTATCTATAATTAACTTTTTCTTCAGGAAAATACAAACACTTTATTTATTCAACAAATTTTTGCCGTTATTATGTTAAAATTATTAAAGATGTGAGTAATAAGTTTGAACGAAGTATCGTGCAAATTACAGTGTCCGTATTTACTGTAAAATTTTATATTAAGAAAAATCATATAAAATTAAATAAACGAATTACCGTTGTTTGTGATCATAATTTTCTGTTCGCAGGTGACTTTGTATTTTATGACGTCAATATGCAACTTGTTGAAAGTTTCCCCCATATTAAAATTTTTAATGCAGAATACGAAGCTTAAACTCATCATTAAAAGTTTTCTTTATACTAATAACGTAAAAAAGTTAAATTTAAGGAATTATGCGAAAAAATCTGGTAAAAATTATGTAACTTTCACACGTACATAAGTACATTGTAATATGTTTAAATAATAATTTGTTCATGTTTTATTAAGTGATGTAATAAATCCTCACTGCCATACTGATTTGAAAAATTAAATGTGCTCAACTAATTTTATTACGAAGATAGAATTTCACTAACTGTATACATACTTCAGCATCCTCTGCACTATCGTGACCAGCCTCTGAAAATTCCATTAGAATACATACAATTAATCATAGAGACGAAAATAAAATAATAAATATTCACCATTTTCTTGAATGATCCGTTTTAAATTTTCAATGCATAATGTTTTGAGAGCACGCTTCTTTGGCGGTCCCATTTTATGTGGAAATAGTACCGACGTATCTACTACTACACTGTGTATCAGTTTTAAAGCCTTAAGATCGCTATCTAAACTGTGGCCGGTTAGAATAGTTTTAGAATGAAACATCGACATCAGAATAGCTTGCACATCACGCAAGGTTCTTGTTTCGCACTTCAACATCGCCTCATTAATCCCAGAATAGCTAAACAAAATAAATAGTTTTATGGACRTTTGCGTATGTGTCACGATTACTTACACCGTGTTGTAATCGACAATTTTATTTTCTGGTTTAACTAGCGCATCGTACACCGTGCGCCCATTTATGTCCACAACTGTAACGCGTGTCAATTCTATGCCCATTGTTGTGTAGCACATTTCACAATCTAGTGCATAAATATCTTTTTTTGTCGGTATATAATCGCCATCCTTTTTAATTGTGGTAATATAGCCGGTAAGATTATCGTAATCTACATAATCCGCAACATGATAATTAGCATACGAGCAGCCAGGTGTACCAGCTGGTTGTTGACAACAACGGTGATGATTGTCRGCGAATCCTTATTAGGTTAATGATGTAAGTTAGTACTTGAACTTTTATGTCATAGGATATAAAACAATACCTCTACGATAACCTGCACTTTTTGGATGATAATTGCATTCATCCACACATATTTCATCATAAATTTTCAAATTGAACACTTTTCCGCAACGACTGCAATAACGTTCATCTACATTGGGACGTCGCGAGGGCCTCGTGCTGGTTATAATTGCAATGCCAGGACCGTTTCCAGGTCGTGGAAACCCATTCGTTGTCAACTGCTCCTCAGTAAGACGTAATTCGTACACCATATCGTATGCTTTGTCACCAGGTAACTTATCAAAGGGTTCGTTGCCATCGCTCGCATCACTTCTTCTGCATTAATTTTATATCGTCTGTTAACATGCTTCGTTCATATACATATATACATATATTTTATGATACCAAGCTTACATTTTTTTCTGCACACTCCAAGTATTCGTTTTGGCTAGTTTCCCAGCTAGTATGACTTCATGAGATAGCATCCTGTTGGTGTCGGCTGGTTTATTTCCAGAATCTTAAAATTAGTAGATTATTCAAATTATTCAATTATTAAATATTAAAATGATCAGTACCGGTTGCTTCCTTTCTTAGTTTATTTATGGCTAACAAAGCGCTACTTTTATAAATAACTGGCGTATTACATTTTTTTAAAACAGCTAGCTCTTCTGTTTGTGCCTGCATTAATAGAGGTAAGATATAAAATAAAGCAATGCGTTTAAAAACATATTTACCCGTTCCCAAGCATCGGCCATATTCGGATATATGGCCAAGCAATGTTTTACCATCATTTCGTAATACTGCATACGGATATTAAATGATATTTTTGATGAATTTGCCTCTAGCACTGGTGGTTTCGCGGGTTTTATCTAAAAAAATATATATTATTATGACCATATTAATAAAAGTTGTAAAGCACTAAACTTACAGCTTCTTTTGTCGCCAATGCTGCGGTAATTTTGTGGGCAACACGTTCACCTTTTTTGGTTGTTTGTGCTGGTGTAAATGCCGGCTGTTTTCCCGCTCTAAGCTCTTCTACTTTCTTCTTTGCCCGTTCCAAAGCAATTATGTTGGCGACGGGTGCAATGGTACGAGCTAGAAAAATAAAAATTCAAATGGACTTTCAATTGTAATTTCTATATTGTTAACTRGAACATATTACTTATACGAGGCGGTGGTGTTAAATAACTTTTTGGTATAAGTGGTGTTAGCTGGCTCTGGCTCTTTTCTTTTGCCTTACGTAAAGCTTCAGTTGCTTCCCGCACTTTTTCCTCAGCTTCACGTACCGCCGTTTCCACTACTGTGGCTTCCTCTTCTCTTTTGCGATGCATCGCTGATTGTCGATTGAAAATAGCCTATAATTATAACGAATAATAAAATATAGTCTATAATACGTTGAGATATTTGAGTGTTCTTACTTGCATGGCATTGCGTATGTGATCGGGTTTTCGCAATAAAAGAGGAGATTGTACTTTTAACTTATCTGCGTTGTGATAAGCAACCCGCTTCTTTTGTAAGGAATTGGTTACATATTCATCTTCTTGTGATTGGTGACGTTTTAAAGCTTTAGATTCATTTGTGCTACTCTTAAGTTCACCATTATTATCTTTATGCATGGAAGCAAAATCCTTTTCCAGTTGTTCGTATATCATTTGACATTCCTTATTAATCTCTTCCGTGATGGGAAACTGCTCTATACTTTCTGTTGATGTATGTGGTGAAATAGGATCCACCGGTGTCGATATTTTRCTCTCTCTGTGAATTTTATTTGATGAGATGTGATTTGATTTTGAAGATTTTTTTGATTTACTGCGAGACTTTGAGCCTTCTTTAACTTCCGATAAAGTTGACGAAGGCCTACTCTTTGATGAAGAAGATTTCGACGACGAAGTATTCTTATAGTCTTTTTCGTGTTTATGTCTTCTGTCATCTTTTTTGGAGTGCTCTTCGTGCCTGGATTCCTTGTGTTTTCTATTTTCTGTTTTGTGTATGTTTTTATTTTCTTCTTTGGAAATTATTTTTAATCGGCTTTCTTTGCTAAGCGATCTATCCTTTGAAACCGATGTATCTTTAGTAATAGGAGTTTCCGTTTTTTGTTTTATATCCTTACTACTACGCCGAGAACTTTTATTCTCTTCATTGCTAATTACGTCTTTTTTAGATATTATTATGTTTCCTTCTTCAGCATTATTAATTTTATTTTGATTATCTTCCGTTCTAGTATTAGATGGTATTTCACCATTATGCCTAACATCTTTTACAACCTCAGTTTCTAGTATTTCACCAAGTTCGTTTAACTCCTCTTCGCAATCGTCAAGATTTAAACTAAACGATTCATTATCATCATTTTTGCATGTTGCTGGAATATAAATGGGGGCACGTAATTCAAACGCTAAAGGAGGTTTTGAAGGGCTGGCATTTAAGGCTGGCTTCTCGGGTTGATACTCCAGTTTTGGCTTTGATTTAGTAATCGTTGGTAAGGGCAGCAGTTTTGGAGAAGGTTTATACTCCGGTACAGACACATTATTTGTTGTTTGATTTTCATCTGAGATGAATGTAAATGTAATAAAAGCTTAAATATTCATATGAAAAAAATACACACCTTTACGCACATGCTTAAAATGACAGTACGGCCTTTGGCAAGATTGTGTTCCAGTGTTCTGATTTTTGCTGTTTGTTCCCGTAAAATAAGGACARGGAAATCCCTTAAATAAACCAAGTGAAGGTAACATATTATTGATTCCTTTCTTTAGAAAGTCATTGTGCAACACAAATATTCTTGCTTGTTTGAGTTCATTATACCAGAAAACTACTTGCTCGCTTTAGATAACAACGTTACCGGTATATGAAAATCTTAGAATTTCTTAAACTATGTACAGGGTGGCACAAGTTAAAAAAATTTATATATGTAATAAGGCTTTTTGTTCAAAAATAGTGAGGACAACTTCAAACATTATTTTACTATAAGTAAAGGTATTTGATTTAAAGCGAATCTTTGAAATTATTTTCTAATAACTCGGAAATTTCGTACGTAGGAAATTTTTAAAAATTTGTTATATTATAACCCTTCTTTGCAAACCATCTTTAAGAACATACGTATATGTATGTAGGTGTAGGTATATTGGCGGAAGTATGAAATTATGTACATTTACATTTTATAAGATTATTGTCCTYTAATTGTATCAATAATTAAGGGTTTTAGTATAATTTCCTTCGTACAGGTTTAAATACTTGTATACAATGATATTTAAGTACATAGCTAGTATACGAATACACCATAATTTTTATAACAGTATTATCATTTTTAAAAGGAAGTGCACATCTACAAGCATACTTACACATGAAACTATTGCATTTACTAATGTAAAATATGAAGTCGTTCCAATTAGTTTGTAAACATTCTTTTAGTGCGGTTGTTTAGTCACTTGTATACACACACAATGATAATGTACGGCTAGTACACTCTGTTAATAACTTGCTGAGCGATGACGGCTTGTTTTTTTTATGARTATTTTGCGGATCAAAGGTCATTTTTGGTATACGTACATGTACACATCTATTAAAATTGTTTACGTTTGCTCCCTAATCGCTTCTAAGCATTTATTTACACGTTGGAGTTGTGACGTACATATGTTAATGATTCAATTTTTTATTACCTGTTGGCAGTGAATTAAAAGAAGTAATCATAATTGTGCCAAATATACGAGTTTACATATTGATCAATTCACTGTTAACGTTACCAATTTTAAAAACAATATTCGACTGTAAATTTAAACTCAAAGTCTACATATGCGTTAATAATAACCCTAGTAATTGTTTATTCATGAGATGAAATAAATAACATTAATTTACATATGTATATGTATGGTAGAGTCGGAGTAAATAAGTATATCATTAATAAGCTTAGATTGTGGTTGCTCATCAACGATTACTTTTTCACATTTTCAGTTCTCCATAAGTCATGGATCGTGCTAGCATTTTCTTCCTAGATGAAGGCGAATCAAACACTTTCGATTTTGACGAAACGTTACCACCATTGCCACTACCAGACCTACATGATACATTACAACGCTACTATGATACTATTAAACCATTTGGATCCCCGAGTGAATTAGAAAAATCTAAGAAAATCATTTCTGATTTTGAATGTGGCATCGGTACTGAATTGCAAAGGAAACTAAAGGAACGTGCTGCAGTTAAAAAGAACTGGTTAAATGAATGGTGGGATAAATATGCCTATCACATGTTACGTACACCTCTAATTCCATACATCATAATGGCGATGCCTGTAAACTTAGAAGTTATAAATATTCCCGAGACACCTGCCTTCCTACTTAAGGTTTGTATGGTGATCAGGTATCTTGTAAATATTCAGTTTTTACTTAATACAATTTGTTACTGTTTAGAATCTGGCGCGAATATTGTACCATACTCTTGAGTTTTGGAATTTGTTACGGAATGCAACAATTAAACCCCATTCATCACATGGTGGCAAAATTAAATATTCTTCAGCATTATACAAACGCTTTTTCTCGGCAACACGAGCTCCAGGCATAGATTATGATTACATAAAAACTTACTTTAAGCCAGGTACAGTATTTACAGAAAACCCAAATATTTATTAAACTACATCTAAAAAATTGTATTCTCTGCTTTAGTTAACGAAGGTAACACGCCATCTCATGTCGTTGTTTCTGGAAAAGGACGTATATTCGCCTTTGACGGTTTACATGCGGATGGAACAATCATTTCGCCTCTTGAAATCCTTATCGTTTTGCAGCGTATTCGAAGTATTTTGGACTATGAATCAATGGGCGACTGCGTYCCTGTCCTTACCCACGACGATCGCACTACTTGGGCAAATGTTAGTAAATCAAGAAAAAKAAAATCCAAAAGTGAACTAAATTAATGAACATTATTGTAGAATTATATACATCTTCAAGAGATTTCGGAAAAGAATAAGGAAACTATAGAGACTATAGAAAGCTCTTCTATAATTGTTACATTCGATGAAAATGAGCCTCATAGTTATGAAGAAACTTCGCTGCTTTGTGTTAATGGCGATTTCCACTCAAAATGGGGAGACAGAAGCAGTACAATTATTGCTTTCAAGAACGGACGATTCGCGTATGTTGGGGAGGTATGTACATACAAAAAAAGCTTGCTAATTAACATATCATACATATACATATGTACATTYGTTTTATAAGACGATCAATTAAACATTAAATTATAATTTCATTGTATTAATAGCATTCAGCTTATGATGGTACGTTTAGCGTGAGTTATGCGCTTTTTGTGCAATTGAGTATGTTTGAAATTGGTGAGCCTGACTGGAGTTGCACTGATAACAGCAAATATATTACGTTAACTGAATTAAAATTTGACTTGGACAATGAACTTCAAAAGGAGATCGATCGTGCAAAACTGGACTGTGACCTAAGGGTAGCTATAAATATGAAAAATAAAAATACTCTTTTAAGGAATACATTGACTTTTGAACTTATTTAGAGAAATGACATTATTATAACATATGATTATTTTAATGAATATGCAAAAGACGATATCAAAAGATGGAATTTACACCCAGACTCATTTGTGCAAGTTATAATGCAATTGGCATATGCAGAATTACATCAAGAGTAAGGCATATAATGAATAAAGATTTTTTTTATAATTTTTTATATACATACTTTGTACATTTGAAATATTCACAACAAAGAATTGCCGCAACCTATGAGACTGCTTTAACTCGCCATTTTTACAATGGTCGAACCGAAACTTTACGCTCCTGTACCACAGAAGTTCATAAGTTTATACAAATGGCGCGTGAAGGGAAGTCTTCTTCTGGAGAAATACTCGCCGCCTTTCGAAGTGCTGTTAATAATCATAATCACATGATGAATGAAGCACGGAAAGGAAATGGTATAGATCGACACCTCTTTGGGCTTTGGTGTATAGCATACGAAAATGGAATAGATGTACCAGAGATTTATAATGATCCCTTATATATAAAAAGTGGTGGAGGTGGGAATTTTATTCTATCTACAAGTACATTGGGTTATACCTCTATTGTTGGATTTGTAGCTCCTATGACACTAGATGGTTATGGCGTCTTTTACTCAATAACCACAGACACGTACGTTTAAGACACTTGTGTTTTTTTAGTATTAATAACGAATTGTAATTATTGTAATATTCTATTCCAGTATTTATATTCAAATCACTGCATTTCGTGATAGYACCAAAACAAGCGCACACAAGTTTAACGAAATATTCAAACAGCAATTTTCCAGAATTAAAAATTATTTGGAGCATAATTCTAAGTTATAAAAAAATATCTAAGACATTATCTTATATTTTAATGCTTTCATTTTATTATTTTCATTTTTGACTTAGGTGAAATTTAATAGACTTGTATTTTTTTAACATTATTAAAAAACAATTTAAGCATTCGCGGCTTTAGTACGATTTCAACAGTTGGGAATAATTTGGAAATATGCTTTATTAATACAGGAAATAAATGTCAACCACCCTACAAGAGACTTTTGTTAAAGTTTCTTTGAGTTTCCTAACACTAAAACACAAAGCGTGTTGTCCGAGAACGAGCATCTCGATAGCCTCTCTCCTTCATAGAAACTAAGAATTGCTGTAATAATAGCTTTTAACAGCAACTTCTTCCTCTTAGGGTGTCTGCAGATTGGACGCATTTTCCCATTTACGCCACACGCGAATTCATGCTGGCCTCGACTTTGAGTGTCCACTCTGCGAACACCCTCGCTTGGATAATGTCGATGTATTTTTAATGTGATTAATTTAGTTCTGATAAAACTGAAAACTYCTTTAGTATTTGGACTGATCATCATAGGTTAGTCCAAAAAGTGGAAGATAAATAGAAACAATTTGTTGGATATAGCAAAAAATATATCAATATACTTATGTATTTGCACCTTCTAGTTAGAAGCATGGTACAAGGATTAGAAGGTTTACAAAAAATCCGCTGAAAATGTGGAACACAATTTCCCTGAGAACGTATAATATATACTATAAAATAAAAGGTTCTCTGAATTTCCTAAATTATATAAAGTAGCTAATTTAAAAATATTATTTTAAAACTTGCATAAGTATATTTCGTAAACATGCAAATAAATAATTGAAACTTAATTTCCAGTTTCTTTCGATGAAAAGATGTTTTTATTCGTATAACTTTGATGTTAATGGACATCCCTAGTCATAACCATAACCATATAAAACAGCTGATCGAAACAACACACGGGTAGCACTGTTTCCTATTGGTGTTCCTTACCATAATGCCATTGCCAAAACCACAATGATGCCTATCAATTGTTTTCTAGTTTTTGGTTCTGGTGAGTTTCATTTTGAATATATTTCAATATATTAATAATATTAACAAATCAAATTCTTTGTCACTGCTCATGTTATTTGTTGAGTTGGCACTTGCGAATTGAAAACATAGACTACGATTGAAAATATAAGTTCTTTATGGTTTTGGCACCAATAATCGATTGATAATAGTGATTATTGTTACGGTTATGACGGTAGTTATGGTGTGGCGTCTATAATTGAACTTTTATTGCTTAGAGAAATCACATCCTTATGACATTTAAAAGCAATCGATATCAGTATAAATATATCGTTTTTTATTTTCATTCCTATAAACAACTGAAGACTTATTTTTGTGTTATAAACTAATATTGTAATTTTTTCCAAGTTTTGTATAAAACGTATATTTGGTAAATGTTCAGGAGAGCGGCTATTTATTCGACCAGTTTTTCCACCAAAGTATTTTGATGAGTGACAACGAGAAGAACATGTCTACCGAGGACGATACGGAGGAAAGGTACTTTATTCTATTTAAAGTTTTTGAAGATCAGATTTTGATGTCAAAGATTTCAGCTTTTCGCGATTGCCATTAATAAAAACTCGTGTACGGAAAAACATTGCGGAGTTGCGACATCCTCGTCAAAAATTTTGTGCTCGTTGGGAAAAGGATTTTCCTTGGCTGAAAGCAGATAAAGTAGACGAATCTGTGGGAATATGCACAGTTTGTAACAAACATCTTGTATGCAAGAAAAGTCATTTAGAGCGCCATCAAAATTCCTATAAACATCAAAGACTTCAGGGATTTGAATCATTTGACACAGAATGCGAACCATCACAACCAAGTGCCCCAGAGTTTATGGAGTGTGGAAAGTGAGATATGATATAAAATAATCTACATGATTAAAATCTAATGTTAGTTTCTTAGACGTGAATTTGACGGAGAGGAGCAGGAATTTAGCCAAGCTATTGAGTTGGATCCAGATTACAAAGTGGACTTTGACGTAAGTAAACAATATCACAAATAAATTTTAAACTTTACCATTGACTATGAAAATATCACAGCATAACTGTTGTTCTGCTTAGTTAATCATTTAAGTTTCTAAAAAGGCAGAAAATTTCAGTAGTTTATTGGATTAATTAACTTTTGTTATAATTCAATTCATATTTAAAGCGAGATTCTGAAAAGCGATTCAAAAAACACTCTTCTAAGAATGTGAAAGCATCACAGAAACAGCAAAATGCAAATGGTTCAGAATCTAACGAAAGTCACTCTAATAGGAGCTTCAAACTAGATCGTTTTAAACTACTTAAAAGAGTTGACCGAGATCGAAATACTCTCAACGAGTATTATTTGATAAGAAGAAAACAACACTCTCCCCCTAGTCAACAAACTAAGGATACGTTTGACTTATTTTTTGATAGTGTTTGCGCAACTGTAAAAACATTACCACCGAAACTGGGGGCAGAAGTGAAGGGTAGAATTTCGCAATTGATAGCGGAGTTTGAATTACGTGCAATATGCGAGAGGGAAGCTCAAGAATGTAGTATTACAATGCCATCCACAACGACTGAAGGTGCCACAATGGTAGTAGCTTCAACTACAACACATCGTCAAGAGGTTACAGCATCCGTAACTCAGGAGTCAGCAGTAATTGATCCTAATACAGGGGTTCCACATATTGTTTACTCATTTCAACCAAAAACAAATGAATAAAACACTTTTTAAAACATCAGTGAAATATGTTAAATAAATTAATATCTTTAAAAAAATTAATTTTCATAGTTGTCAGTTCCTGATAAGAACCTCAATATTATCCTGTAATTGTAAATGTAATAAAAAATTATTTTAAGTAGAAAAGCTACTCATTTGCCAAATTAATTTAATTTTACTAATAAACGGTCTATGGTAATGATGTATTATTTAGGCGCGAAATAACTATATCTATGTCAAATAATTTTTTTTTTTTACCTTTAGTTTATATTTTGTTTTGACCTAGATGTACACTCGATAAAAATTAGTAGAAGCATCGATTCGTTTCATAACATTTTGATCATAATTAAAAAGTAACTATCGTCCCTAAATAAATTAATGTCAAAAATTCCTAATGTCCATGGATTTTGTATGGCGTATACCTAAATAAACATGGCGGCAACGCTGAGGGTTGCAAAATTCTACTCTGACAGCGTGTTAAGAACTAAATTTTCAATTGATTAAAAGTATTATTAATAAATTAATTCGATTTGCATTTTATTTCTTTTGTATTCCCCCGCTATATTCGGGGATGCTGCTTCGGTAATAACGCGACAACGCTTTGTTCAATGATTTTATTTAAGTACGTTAAAGTGCTCAGGTTAACAAACCTAGGTTAAGTCCAGTTTAATTATGTAAGAGCGACCATCATCATGGGAACCGCTTAAAATTMTTAAAAATTTTTGCACGAAATTAATATATAATAGTTTAATATTCTATAGTATGAATATCAATCCATGAATATACCTAAATATTMATTTTCCCGACATTTGCTTGCCATTTGCTTGCAAAACCATGTGATCAGCTATTCTAACTTGATGGTCAACTAGTACCACGACTTGAATGGAAAACTTGATATTAAATCAGCGACCAAGTTCGAAAAGTGAGTGTATTCAACTTGAAGGCAATTTCTTGATCGTGTAAAATCCGGGTAACATAAATATGCTCGATCGCTGCTTACAGTTCACTATCGATCAATATGTAGGATATCTAAATGAAATTCAAAAAGAACCATTTTCTTATAACAGTGTTTCCTCCGATTTGATCCCTTCCTTCTTGCTTTTTTTAAATTTACTGAATTTCATATCATCAAATAATTTTTTCAATCCTGTTAGCAGAAATTAAAAAAAGTCGGGTATTTCCATTTGTGTAACTCAATAATTTATAGTAAATTTGGAAAAACCGGACGTCACGAACGTGTTTATTTTAATCGGTAATCTCGATCATTAGTCACAAATTCTGAGTTGATGTGTGATATTTTTCGTTGCCCATAACACGCAACTTTTATTTTGTTCTGTACAGAAAGTGTTTCTTATCGATAAAAATTGCTGTTCACATTGCCAGACKGCGTATTGCTTGTTTTTGGCAATATCCTAAACACTTTTTTTTATAAAAATATTTGTTCCATCGATGGCAATATTTGAAAGTGAGTTTCAACRGAAATGTTTGGAAATTGTAATAAAATACATGAACCCCACGCTATTGTTAAGATATCAAGTTACCATTAAAAATACTGCCTATTTCAACGTAATAAATTTGATGCTTCATAGGAAGCAATTAATGCTTGTGGAGATACAGCGTTAGTACATCATGTTTTGAAGTTAGGCGCCAAACTTTTACTATATGTATGCATCATACAGACTGTCGATAATTTAGTTGCAGATAATTGAGTAAGTAATTTACAATAATCTGGCAAGGCTTGTAAGCATTTTTGTATACTGTGTYTAGGCTTTTCAGTTTGTCTCTTCATTATCCTTGTTTACGAAGTTTGAGTGTATTATTTGCTCTTCGTCTTAAGAAAAATATATTTAATATATTCTCTGTTGTTTGAATATATTAAAGAGATTTCTTGAAATGTTATTTTATACTTTGSTCAATTAATTTTTATATTTTGTTTTCAAAAACTTAAATCGACGTTCAAAGCGAAATTGGCGGCAATAAATCCTTTTCAATTTATAAAATGGAGTTTGTGTGTTTAAGAAATATAAGCATAAAGGACGAACCAGTTGATTATATTGACAATATTGAAAGTTCAGAGGTGATGATTGAGTCTGAAGAACGTACTATAGTTGATGTAGATCCGATGAATTTGTTGGAAGCTATAGCTGAACGCTGTAGTGAAGACGACCAAGAAGTCAACGTGACATCAAATGGTGATGATGTAGGGTTAAGTGATAAGTGGAAAAATTGGATAAGAACATATCCCTGGTTGTTGCGTAGAACTGAGGGTAAACGCCTCGGTTTCTGCCTCTACTGTGGCAAGGATATGAA